CCCAGTGACCAGACTAATAAGCAGGTGGTGGGTGACCAGGAATTCCAAGAGAGGCTGGGGACAGAGCCATGTCCCAGGCACAGAGAGGGAAGGCCTGTATGGATTTCCCCGGTGGAACCCCCCTGTGGTCCTATCCCAGCAGAGTCAACTCCACATGTCCCCTCCAACCAGACCTGCGCTTACATCATAGGCATACCTGTGTGCACTAGACAGGCTGGCTTTGCAGGAACAATTTGCTTAAACAATGCTGTGTTATAAACAGGCTTCTCGCAGAGATCAAGGTTAGAAAGACTTGTGTGAACTTGCATAGAAATCTAGTCCTGACCTCAGAGCACATCTGAGCAGTGCAGGGCTCTGCGGGGAGGAGGGTCCTGCTCATAAATACCCTGGCCTTCGCCGGTGGGCAGTGGGAGAAAGCCTTCCCCCGCCCACCAGGCACCCCAGAAGCTCCATGCCTTCCTACTGCGTCAGCGTCCTTCCCTGTGTCCTCAGGAAAGGACTGCCACCACGCTGACCCAGGAAGGAACCTAAAGTCACCCCAGTCCCACCTCCTGCCCCAAACCCAGCATGCCTGAGTCATGGCTTTCCACCACCCACCCCACCTGTGCAGCCTGGGGGTGGCAGGAGCCTGTGTGCAGTGGTGTGGGCCGCAGACAGTCCCACCCTCTCAGCTCTGACTCCAGGAGCCGGCTGCCTGCCATGTGAACGTGTGCGCTCACCTATACTCATGGTTATGAAGTCCGATCTGAGACCTCCCCGGGCACAGGGACAGCACCCAAGTGGGGGGTGGGGAGGCTGAAGACCCAGGTCATTGCCATGTGTGGCCCCAGTTCTGCTCTAGCTGTTGCCTGTAGTCCTGACACTTGACCTCTCAGGGTCCACGGGTCTTCCACTGTCAGTGAGGTCATGGGACATTCGTCTGTTAAGATCACTCACTGGCTATGATTCCTAGGTGGGGCTACCCTGATTCGGTCACATTCAGCAGAATCCATCTGTGTAGCACCAAAACAACGCCTGTTGCGTTTGCGATTCCACAGAGACCTTCATCAGAGGTCACTGGTGTACTGATTTCCCCTTCACCGGAGGGGAATCCTTAGCACAATATTTTACAGAAACCATTTTGTATGGGAAATGGATTATTCTAGAATCTCTCCCTCTTGCAAAGCCACTAAGGGCTTTCTTCTCTCTTCCCCAAGGATTACCTCTGAGCTCCAACATCAAAAGACACATGCGCTCTTATCTTCCACTCTAGTGAAGTATGTAGGGTCACCTTGGGGGTCCATGAAGCAGAGCTCAGGCCTCCAAATGAGCATGAAGAGAGCACAGCTTTTCCAAGGCCAGGGCCACCCCAGAGGGCCACCCCAGAGGGCCACCCCAGAGCCTGGGACTGCACCACTAGGGCTGGTTGAAAGTGAGCCCCTGTGAAATTCCCATTTCCTTCCCCCACCACTATTTTTGTTTTGTTTTCTGTTGCCCGTTTACCCGTGCAAATATCAGTATGCTAGAGCCAACTGTTTAATGATGAGACACAGAGAACCTTGTTTAAAAAAAAAAAAAGTCTTTTTTTCCTTCTAGAGAAATAAGAACCTTAGAAAGTGTCCTAAAAGAAGTTGGTATTTTTACACAGAATTTTCTCCCCACTGCATTGCCAGAATGCTGTGACGCCAAGAGTACTTGGGACATTCTCTGACATATTCTGAATAGTTTCAATTATCAAAGATTATAAAGCAGACTGTTAAGAAGAATCCATAAGCAAAACGTGCGGCCCCCAAACCTTACTCCAAGTCAGTACATGACTTGAGAGTAAGCTCTAGTGTGGCCAGAGCTAGTGCCATCAGATTGTGATGCCATCCAGGCCAATCCTGAGACAAGAGTCAAGAAACTACCCCTGAGATGGTGGGGGCCCCGGTGGGGTGTGTGGGGCGAGAAGGACACCTGGACAGTGTCTTTCAGGAGGTGGGCAATTCTGGAGCATTTGAAACTAAGTCTCAAAGCAGCCAGCTGAAAAGGAGCAGGGTCCCTGGGGAGAGCTGGCCGGCAACAGCGCGAACACCTGGTGTCCAGGGACGAGGCATAAAGCAGGGAGAGGCAGAGGTTCAGAAGGCAGAGGGAAAGCTGGGAAAGAAAAGGCTAAACATTGAAGCAGTGAATTCCCCTTGAGAAAAGGCATCATCAGCAAAACAGCGTGTGCCAGATGGATTCTGCCTCGCACCACCCAGCACCTGGTGGTATGGGGAAACTCCACTGTTTTATGTCTTCCCCAAGATTT